CGTTTTAGCCGGGTTAGCTGCTAAGCTTTCAACATGTTCCTAATCTGACATGATTAGATCCCATGATCATTGTACGAGATTGAGCTTAATTATTGGTTCATTTCACCATTTTTTTGACATGTTAATGAATTTCTAGGGCAATGACATATGTCTACGTCTAAACATAATACAATATATACGACGGGGATGAGAAAAGTATTTTTCTGTTTCAAATTCCTACAACGAGAGCGAAAGTATGAATGGTATATTTGCCTTCATAGTTATTAAAATTATTTATTTGTAGAAAATAAACAAATATTGGAATTTGAACCAATGTATCTTCCAAAAAAGACAAGAATCATAAGCCTGATTGTCAACCCAAGTTTGACATGTGAAATCAATAAAAATTTCATGCACCTGGGTAAAGCTAGGCTTAACCAGATTAATCCAATTCATCCATTAATCCTTTGCCCACTTGCTTAAACGACATTGATGGAATCGAGCGACAACTTTGGTCATAACAAATTAGACTGAACAAATTTGTTGTATATTTTTCAATAGGTTATAGGTATAATATACTCCTCTATTTTATATATATATTAAGAACTCTATCATTCACTAATGCATGCACTTTTAGTTTCCAAACATATTTTACTCAAATACTTTTATATAACAATGAATGACTCCCTAAATTTCGCTTAGTTTTCAATGAAAGATGAGATGCTGTTAATTGATTTATAAGCTCAAATATACCTCCATACCACTAAAGCTACAATCATTGTGATCTTTAGTTGTTTACTCACCTCTGCCAATGTTTACAGGTTCATATTTTGCTATGAAATTTAGATAAAGAAACTTTAAATCTCACACATTTAAAAGTAGGAGATGCAAACTATGTAAATAAGTGATTGCGTATTTACTATTTTGAAACCCAAAACTGAAGGAATGTAGATCATCCCATTTCGCAGTAAATTAAAAAGTCTTATGAAAAGTGATACATTAGCGTTGGATGTGGTGCTGAATGAACAACTAAAGCCAAATGTGGCCTAAAAAATTTCCTCCACTATGAATTGCAAAAAAACATCATTCCCAAACCCAATTTATAACCAGTCAAATCATATTTGGTAATATCACTTGAAGGTCATACCAATAAACGACTATTTAGTTTGAGTCTAAATTAGACCTATTACTAGGGATGGCAACAAAACCCGAACCCACGGGTACCCATCCGACCCAACCCGGTCAACGCGGGTAAAACCCGTATTGACGAGTTTTGGGCCAGGTTCGGGTTTAAACCCGCTACACTATTCACCGGGTCGGGTTGGGTTTGGGTTTAGGTAAACCCTCCCCATGGGTACCCGCCCACACACATATAATTACTTTCCCGGTATATTTAATATTCTAAATAATATATCTTCCTTAAATAACTAATATTCTATATGTTTGTGGAGACATGTATAATTTGTTCTTTCTAATTGTTTAGAATGAAATTGATACTATGAAGTGGAGAGTGAAGAAACTTAGTTGACGAGGAAGAAACTTTCAATTAATCTTATTGTTTATATATGTTTATCTTTAATTTTGAACAATTTGTATTGATCATTTGCGGTTTGCTTGTATGCTCTAGATTGGTGTTTTTTGTATGATTAATTTGTATGAGAAAATTGATGTTAAACTTTTATTTTGAAAGAAACTTGTTATTGTAAATTTTTACCACAAAAACCCACGGGTACCCATGAATCCGCGGATACCCAGCGGGTTGGTTGTGTTTGAGTTTTTCAAACCCAACGGGTTTTACCCCGGGTTTTTTTGGCGGATAAACCCATGGGTTTGGGTTTGGGTTTGACAAAACCCGCCCCAACCCGACCCATTGCCATCCCTACCTATTACATTGGCTAAAAAAAAATGAATATAAATTCTAATGTAATTTTTGCAAATTTTTTTTGTATAATAAACATAAATGTGGAAACACCGATAATGAAGGTGTGAATTGGTTTAATGCGAATAGTTAAATGGTCGATATTTCTTTATAGGTATAATTATATGGACTCAAATAGATTCAAATTGTGGGTTCGACCCAAATAAATGTTTTCCTGCTCTAACTCTCTCTCCCATTCCATAATTAGTAAATTAAAGTAATCCGGCCAACGAGCCGGGTCAAAGCTCGTTGAATTGTAAAACCGCTTGAAATTTTAATTTCTTTTACCTAACGGCCTGTTTACTTTCATTTCTGTTTCCTGTTTTTGAGAAAACAGATTTTGAAACAGGTGAAAACAACATTTTATCGTTTCCGAAAACAGCAGGAAGTTACCACTTTCTGTTTTTATAGTTGGAAACGAATAGAAAACAGAATGAAATGTAAACAAGTTTTCTTGTTTCGGTTGCCAAATTTATAACATGAAAACAGAAAATAGGTAACGAAAATGGAAGTAAATAGGGCCTAAGTTTTTTATAAAGAAAACGAAAAGACAAACACTTGATTTTCTTTTGGTTGATCACCCATCCCGTTCTTGTTCGATTGACCAAACAAACAGTTGGCTTGATCCCATTACCCAAACTCATCCTCCATTAATATATGGTAGAGTTTTGTGTACTTTTCTCCATTTCAAATTTCCTGCAACGAGAGTGAAAGTAGGAAGGTCATTTTTGTCTTTACACATTTATTATTTATTTCATATAAAAATAGCAATATCAAGGTTTGAACCCGGGTCTCTTCAAACAAAGATAACAATCACAACTGGTTACACTAAACAAATTTATTGCATTCTTTTTGATAAAAAATAGACAAAGTTAATCTCTGAAAATCAGAGGACTTTTTATCATAATTAGCAAGCTCACTAAGTCTACCGTATTTATTTTTATCGAGCTTGATACTTCTATTTTCATAGTAGAGTTTCATGTAATTTTCTCAATTTTAAATTCTCGCTCTCTCCTTAATTTTTGCTAAAGGTAAATGGGTAATTGGCCAACATGGAAGAAACTAATTATGTAACTACTATTGTATCCTTGCATTTTTCAATTTAAATTTAAATTTTGTGTTTTTTTTTATCTTTGTTCTTTTCTCTTTATAACTTCCTCCGAAATTTCATCCATCGTGCAATAGTTTGCGCCTTTCACTTCCCAGTACAAGACTGTCATTGAAAATCAATCTTCAGGTATCTCTTGGCACTACGGTTTTATTGTTGGGGATTTTAAGCTGGGCGAGTAGAAGATTTCAACTCCGATATCAATTCATGGCGAATAGAATGGAGTTCATCAATAACTGAAGTTGTAGAAGGAAGATTAGAAATTGAATTTTTGGTTGAATATATGCCTCTTGAGATAGAAATTTGGTTGTACAACGGAGAGTGGTGGCTATTGGATCTTTATGTTTATGGTTTTTGCAACTGTCATAACCTATTTCTATCTTAAAACGAGGAATCATTGATTGATTGTTTGAAATAGGTCGCTTCTTTATTCAACCTACTGGAACTAATAGATAAGGAGTGTTAATTTTGCGCCTTATTACTTTGATCGAGTCTATTCGTATATTGGAGATAACCCTGATTTTTTCGTTTGCTCTCAAGTTGTGATGGTCCCCTCTTAGCTGAGTTTTTACTATATAGATGACTTGAATCAACAACTCTCCATTTCTTTTTGATTAGTGACATATTGTTTCTAAAAGGAGAGCATTGAACCCTTTATATAGGATTGTGAGGTTTAAGATTTAGTTTCAAACTATCTATGGGTTGTGTGAGAATTTCAGTGAGCTTTTATATTCTATATTTCTTGACTGTAAAAGAAAACTAACCAATAGCATTTTAACAGGGACTTAATTAGCATTATGAAAATGGGGTCAATGATACATTTTTATATTTTATATTCTTAAATGATTATGATATTTCTCCGAATCTTCGACCTATATATTATTTCTTTATGTATCATCTCGAGCGAATGATTATCAATAAAATTAAACGGGTTAATAGACTTAAAAATAACATAAAAATACAAATAATCAAATATGAGCATTCCCGCCAAAGGGCCGGGGTATAAGCTAGTTGAGAAAAGACAGATTTTTTATTCTGTTTGGCCTTTTGAGAATAACAGATAAAAGGACCGATAAATGTCTTGACTTGAGGCCCACTCATTTGGAAAGATAACCTTTATTGAGTTTGGGCTTAGACCAATTACGAACATTTTATTTTCTGGCTTAGCCCAGCCCTGCAAACGGCTATCATATGTGTTTGGCTTAGTAGCATGGGCAGTTGTGAAAAAAATGAAAAAGAAGAAAAACTTATAGCTCCATCTTTTCTATTGAGATTGTTAAATATCATACTAATTTCATTTACATCGGTTTTGCATGCGATCCCTTGAAAGATGTGGTTGGAATGCCACCGACATATACTTGGCCATTTAAAATTCGATACTTATAATTCGATACATTGGACTAGCCAAGTGACAGGCAGTTGCGTAAAACATCGCTTTTGATAAATATGTTAAGAACGAATTAAAGAACATCCGATAAACTCTTTAATAGGTGATATTACAATCCTAGGAGTCCCATAGAATTCAGAGTTTAGCACCACATACAAAGTTGTTTTTATTTGCACAGTGTGCTCAATTTATTTTTACTTCGATCTTCCATTTGCTTTTTTTCTTCTTTTTTTACTTCACCATTCTTTTAGGTTATTACTCATTAGGATATTGAGCATATGAGGGGTGGGAATCGGTCGATAAACGGTAAATTGTTTACCGAATTTACCGGTTTCGGTATACCGACACTGGCAAAACCGTTTACCGATACCGGTTTGTAACCGGTTTACCGATTACCGAATTACCGGTAAACGGTTACAAACCGGTTTACCGAATTACCACAAGGGCGACGTGGGGGCGGGTTCGGTAAACGGTTTTTGGGGGTGGGCATTCCCATAATTTACAGTTTTTGACATTCCCATTCGTGGTGACAGTACTAATTAACAACGGTGGTGAATTGAGAAATATACTAATTAAGAAGAAGAGAGAGGGAAATTGAGTTGAATTTCTCACTTGGGTTCCCTTTTGGTGTAATTATATGATTTTGTTTCGTTAGCTAGGGTGTTGTTTTGTTTAATCAACACGAGCGGCCCCTGCGACAACCCAAAGCACCGGCAGTGGAAGTCATCATGCCAACCAAGGATGATGGCTTTGCTCCTAAGCTGGAAGCTCTGGTGTAGCTGGCTCCTGCTCCTGCTCCTGATGCTCTGAAGTATGCCCCATTCAGAAACAAATCCCCTTGTGATCTCCAGTTCCAGCTCTTCCACGTCCCACCGTTGGTGTCCGCTCTCTTTGTCACCTGCCATTTTCATCATCCAATTTTGATGAACGTCTCAACCAGAGCAGCAACAAACACAAGAGAAAAGGCAATTTGTACCAAGTCATCAAGTGTTGCATCATCTAAATACCTCCTTGGATGACAGAACTTCTGTTTTGGGTTCGTTTTGGGTTCGGTAAACGGTTTACCGATTTACCGTCGGTATTTACCGATACCGGATTCGGTAAACCGATACACCCCAGGCCACGCTCGGTCGCCGATAACATCGGTAAACGGTTTACCGTTTACCGTCGATAAACGGTTCGGTAAAACGGTAAACCGTTTACCGACAAACCGAATCCCACCCCTCATATCACATCCATTGTTTACCAATTCATTATGTAGCATAAAAAAGAACTCGAATAAAAGGATGCCGCCACGGTAGCAAACAAACAAGCAGATAAGTAAAGCAGGAGGAATGGAGAAAGGCGCTTGTTTCAGAAAACAGAGGAGTTCAGGCTACAGCTCCAACTCCAACCCCCTCCGCCGATCCTATTCAAGACAGCATCACAACAAACTACATGACGATGTGTCTCTCCCTAATTCTTCACACCCTTTTCTTCAATGGACAGCTTTCTTCGGATTATTCAATAAATCTCCAAAACCCCCCACGGTGGCAGAATTTAGATATCCATCTCCATCATCTTCTCAAAGAAGAAGGTAATTAACAATGGTAATTTGTTTTGTGGTAACAGCCAACTAAACGTCGAAAACAATGACCCCTCCAGCTGCCCATTGTCCTGCCTTGTTCGCACACAGAACAAGGAAGTAATAATCAAGGAATAGAAAATGGCCGAATAGTTATTTGATACTGAGAGCTTGAACAAAATTCTCGATTTAGTTTCCTTTCCCTTGCTGCCCATTTTCTCCATGGCGCGATTTTGAAGATCTGGTTTTTCGCTTTACTTACGGTCATGCTTGATTGATGCCTTCGAGAGAGAAAGTAACGGTTGATTTGGCGGCGAGGGTGGTCGGGAATTGGAAGGAGACCTACGTATGGATTCCCATACTGGGGGCTTTCGCCGTCGTCGCCCTCGCCTTCTCCACCGGCGCCAACAACATCCCCGCTCCGGTCTGTACCCTTCCTGTCCCCTGTTTTTCTCTTTCGAAACAGGGGAGGTCTCTGTTTTTTCAACGGCGTAAAAGAGCTCTGATTTTTTTTCCGTGGCTAATTTCATGCAGCTTTCTACGGCGGTGGGATCGGGAGCGCTGCCTCTTTTCAAGGCGACGATCGCCGCTTTCTTTATCTATCTCCCTGGAGCCGCCTTGTCTGGCAGCAACCCCATTAACTCTCTGTTTTCCCAAGTACGGAACTTGCCATAAACAGAAAACAGAACTACAGCACTTTCAGTCAACAGTTAAAACTAGTGATCGTCACAGTTAATCTTATAAATGATGGATCACCCATTGATGATGTAATTATTATTGATTTGGTAACAGCAATTTGTGCAAGACAATCAGCCAAACGAGGCCTTCTTGATGTGGAGCATGACAGTCGTCCTAATCACAGCAGGTAACTTAGTTTACAAGAAACTTTTGGTTCTCTGCAGACAGGGAGATGACTCTGTTTGCATATGCATATCAATTCATGAACCTCATCCGGATCTTGATCAAACACCACAACTGATTGAAAAAACAGCAATATGGATGGCGATGGCGACGTACTTCGAGCTGCCAGTGTCGTCGCAGCAATCGATGCAGGATGCTCTGTTCGGAACCATTATCGGGGTGCAGGGCTTTCGCTACATACCTATATGGCACAAGGTAAACGGAACACGATCATACTCGTCTCTTTCTCTGGTCTTCGTTCTTTCTTTCCTGGGTTGGTTTCGGTTTAGTTCCCCTGCCTCTCTTATTGTGGCGTGATAGCTTGATGCAGAACGAATACCACAGGTTCAATGTTGTGGGAATGGCGTGGATGATTGTGCAATGGACAGTCGCCCCTGTCGTCGCCTGCGTTTGTGCCTTCTGCCTCTTTACCCTGCTGAAGAAATTGGTGCTTAGACATGAGAAAGGAGACAAGAGGATTTTGGTTTTCCTCCCAATTGGGTATGGAATTGCTGCTGGATTGCTCTGCCAGTTCGTCGTCTTTGAGGTATGTGTATTTGCCATTCGTTTTGTTACACAGAGCTTGAAATTTGCTAAGTAATGGCTAATTTTAGGGTGAAAATTTACTGCAGGTACTCAGAGACCATCTTCTGCTCAACAAATGGGTCGCCATAGGTGTTGTAGCACTTGCCACACTCATAGGAGCTCTATTGTCACTTGTAAGTTCCATTGAATGGATACCAATCTCAAAAGATCAACCTATGTCATATCTATACTTTAGTTTTAACTTTGAGTACGATTTCAATTTTCAACAAATACATATGTCATCGTACTAGATTGTATTATTAGTTATACACTTGTAAGTTTATTATTAGCGTGACATACACATATTTAGTCAAACAATGTTGTTTACATGTTATAGATATTATTTTCACCTTCAATTGGGTTTAATCAAACATAAAATGATAGGTGGTAACCGAAAACCAGAGGGAAGGGGTGCGTCGAAGAGAGAGAGAGAGAGAGAGAGAGAGAGAGAGAGAGAGTAAAAATATTATCGTACACAACTTCTGAATAATCAATAACGTGCTACACCAGTATTACGTGATTTCAAGAGAGTTAAAAGTTAAAACCAAATACATGAAACACATAATACATGGTTTAATGTTATGGTACAACTTCAAGTTGTGCATTAAAGCACCAATACTTTATAACATAGTAGAAGTGCTCTTTTTTGAGTCCTCACAACCCCTGCTAGTCACTTATTCCTCTATGAAGATGTTGTTGCACTTACTATATCGTATTGTTACCACGAAAAACTAGGTATTGGCGGTTCCTTTGGCCAGGAGAAGGCTGCAAATAATAAAGGACACTCGAGGTGAATTCGAAGTAAAAGACACGACATTGAATCTCAATGAGCTTCGTAAAATTGAAATCCACGACCTACCGACATCAAGAGAAGCAGGCAAAGCGAAAGAGGATGACGAGAAGCAAGAAGTGGATGTGGAAGACATGTTGAAGGACTTCATGCAGATGAGGACTCTCGAGACCGTGTATGAGGAGGAAGAACGAAGCATTGCTTTCTCCGTCGATTCCGCCCAACAAGACAACGACAACCCAAGCCAGCAATCTGCAGTCTCCCAGCAGTCCACTCAGCTCATCACTTCCTTCAAACAATTATTGGAATGCAAGTCCGAGCAGTTCGAACGCAAGACGAGTTTTCAGATCATAAAAGAGACGGCATTGAATAATAGTGGGTGGAAGCTGATTAAGGAGAGCGCCAAATCCGTCATTTGCCCGGTAATTAATTACTTAAGTTATATGCATGGTGGTAGTAAATATGACAATTTTGATCTAACCTGCTCGACTTAAGCATTTTTTTTGACTTGTTTCGATTTCCTCCTTTTGTCCTGCTCCACCTGTTTGCCGCATTTCCTACCTGATCCATTGCCATTCCTGAATATTGATCAATTAATTTGCTTGATTTCCTCCGGATTCCGGATCATGGTGGTGATGATAGTGTTCGATTTATTGATTAGCAGGCAGTGGAGTACGACAGGCCGACGCTGATTCGACATGCATTGGCGGAGAAGTACGACGAGCTGGAAGACTTGTTCTGGCTACTCCACCTTGTTGCTTCATGTATCTTCGCGTAGGTGTTCACTAGCTAGTAGCTAGTACCATGTCTGCAAGGCATGTTACTTTTTGTGTGTGTGTTTTTTCTCTCGATCCACCTGCATGCAACATGATTAGTGATTTAACAATGTCGGATTCATGATTAATTAATCTCTACTATAATGAGAAACTGATTTGGTTTTTGATGCAATTAATCAATCAGGCTGATCCAATCGTCGACGGAGATCGGGGCTCTTGCCGGTCCATATGGGGCCATCATTGACGTGTTCCATCATAGAGACAAATACTCCGGCAATATTGCCACTAATGATACGGTAATTACTTGTGTTGTCGCTAATTAGGAAAAAAAGCAAAGCAGTTCATTAATTTTAAATCTGTCTTAACGTCGTAATAATGATGAAAATGGCAGGTGGTGATGGCGAATAACATGAGGTGGTGGTGCAGAGTGATGGGGGGGTTGGTGGCGTCGATGGGGTTCTTCTTCTGCGGGTGGCGGCTGACGCAAGTGCTGGGGCTGAAAGTGACCTACATGAGCAACGCCAGAGGGATGACGACGCAGCTGTCGGCGGCGGCGGCGGTGCTCATCGTGACGAGGCTGAGTTTGCCGGCGTCGTGCGTGTACGCATTCGTGGGGTCGTCGGTGGGGGTAGGGATCGCCGACAATCGCAGGGTAATTAGTAGTCCCTCGTATATATTTTTCATCTGTGTCATCAATTGAGTTGACACCCCCGTGACTGATTTGTTGTTCTTTTTGGTCCTTTGCTTGGTGCAATGTGCAGAATGTGAACTGGAGGCTTGTGGGGAAGTTGGTGGGTGGATGGGCGCTGACGACGCTGTTCTGCAGTGGGTTGGGGTACGTGATCTTCTCTGCTTCAATTCACTCGCCAAGCTACGTTGTGCCGGAAACGATGATCATCATTAATTGAATTTGGTGGCGAAGACTGCAAAAGGTTACTTGCTGATTTTGGCGTTACACAAATCGATGCGTATGTCTTCTATTTTTGTGTATGAAGGGGAAGTTTTGTCATTCTGGGGGAAAACGTAAGGTTGCAACAGTGCAGGGGCCAGGGGGGAACGTTATGTGTTGTGCTTGTTTGTGGATTATCTTTTTGTTTAGTGATTGGGAAGGGTGATTATTAGATTAGAAGATAAAAGGAAGATTGATTATTGTGCAGGCCAATGGATCACGAGTTTCTGCTTCCCTTTTGACTTGCTTGCTACTTCCTATTTCCTAAAGGTATGTTGAGGTCTACCAAAATATATACAAGGAACAGAAGCAACTGAAATAGGGAGAAGAACCAAAAAATATAAAAATGAAAGTTTGGCCCATGCAGGTCTCGAACCTGCGACCTTGGCGTTATTAGCACCACGCTCTAACCAACTGAGCTAATGGGCCTATTTATTAAATTTATTCCTTCAGAGCTATTTCATCACTTTGCAACGGAAAGTTTAAAACCGAAACCATACAAATATAAAATGGCCTTAGGTTCGGCATAAAAGCTCGGCCTGCAAAACCATGCAAAAACCCTATCGTAACATGATACGATATAATTTCATGGCGTATTATTGTATCACGATGTTGTGATACGATGATATGGTTGAGTTTTGCAGGCTGTAGTTTTATGCTCTATCCACTCTCCCATATATCCTCACCCAAAGATAGATAAGGGTGTGTTTAGAATGATTTGGATTTGGTATTTGTGATTTGAATTTCTAAATGTCAAATCATGTGTTTGGATATTAATTACATTTGATATTTGGATTTGTGCCAAATTCATGGGATGATTTCCAAATACATGTCTAGTTTATTGCTTGTCAACTTCAAATACATTTCAACAACTAATGATTTGAAATACCTCCTAACAAAACATGAATCTATTTGTAAAATATTAAAAGTTTAGGTACTATAGTGTGAGGCAAAACATATAAAGGTACCAAAATGTAATTTTACCATAAAATATTTTTGGACCTTTTTGTAAAATTTTAGAATTTTAGGTACTAAGTTATAAGAAAAATAAATGTGGGTACCAAACTATAATTTACCAAAATTTGTAGTAAGTGACCAAAAAGTTCAAAATTAAAATAAAAAATCATGAAATTTAAAATACAAACAAAATACAAATGAATATCCAAAATAAAAATTCGAATTATATGTATTTGAAATGCATGTATTTTAACAATATGTATTTCAAATAGCTATCCAAATGCATCCTGAAAGGAATTGAAAGGTGACAGAAAACGTCAAAAGTCACTTGGTAAAACTAATTAAAATGGGGTTTACATGCATCATAGGTAGCAATATACAACTTCATGCAACCACCTGTGTCATAATTAGTCATCTGAAATAAATCATATGAAATGTGATAACCGGGTAACTCAATTAGTATGATATTATCGTTTGTGGGTTAAGTCCGTACGGTTTTACTCTTGGGTATCCTTCTCAAAAGGTCGTGCACTAATGAGTTTGATGGACACTAATATACAAAAATTCCTTCCCATGTATTACCCACGTGGTACTTGTATAGTCCCATCACATGAACGAATTGTTATTCAACTCTAACTCTCGGCAATTTATCTTTGGAGCTCCTTAGCTAGCTCGTCAACAAATAGCACATGCACTAGTGACTAGTCTACTAGATTGAATCAATTGTACGCAATTTTTTGTCATAGATATTTCCCAAGAGAAGCAAATATGAATTTTTTTCCAGGTCATCTCACAAAACAAAATAAGAAAGAAAAAAATAAATGTTGGTCGACAAATGACTAACCAAATTATACCAAAGCTTATTACTATGATAATAGGGTTGCTTGTACACACCATCAACCCTATTATATCTATTAAGTGTTGAGTAATGTACTTGGGCTTCGGTCCACTTTCCCATACGATAGCTCAACAATATGGCTTTGCTAGGTCTGGCCGAGTTAGCTAGGATTTTATGTCTCTAGCTTGTATTTATATGCTTGTAACCAGACTTGTTGAAGCTAAGCTAAATAAGAGGATACAATAGCTTCGACCTTGGACTAGTCTCGTTCATGCTGAACGAGGAAACCACGTAACTCTGTGTCTAGTTTCGTTTTCTGTTTCGGTATTTTGTTAGGATTAACATGGTATCAGAGCCTATGTCTCCTGAGCAGATTACAACGCGTCTTAACTCCAACAACTATGTGGTGTGGGAGTTTCAGTTTCGGACGTTGATCGAAGGCAAAGGACTGATGGGATGGCTCGATGGCACCACGAAGCGACCGACTGTGCCTCCCTCTTCTGCACAGGAGGTCTTGCAATGGGTGGTGAACGATGCCAATGTCCGGACTCTTCTCAATTTGGTGGATGGCTCGATTCTCTTGTCCCTCCGTATGCTTCCTACGGCAGAAGCTATGTGGCAATATTTGGCCGATACCTATCGGACTGCTATGGCTTCTAGGCAGTATAAGACCGAGGCGGAGCTCGTGCGGCTTCATCAAGGCAGCATGGATGTGACTTCCTACTACAATGAAGCATGTAATATGTGGACAAAACATGATCTCGTCGCAGCGTCTCTTCTCACCACAGCTGGCTCGACGGAGGTCCGGGCTGCGAGAAGATGCGGCTGATGCAGTTCCTCATACGGCTCAATCGGGATTAGGAGTCGGTCCATGCTTCCCTACTGAATTGAGAGAACCTCAAGATTGAAGGTGTTCTTGCCTCGTTGATCCAAGAAGAAACACGTCTTCGCACACAGGCTGTGCTCGACATGCGGCCACGGACAAGTGATGGTGCAGCGGTGTTTAGTGGATTTCTCAATCGCAGACGGTAGCAGGTGGTGGGACAGCTAGTAGAGGCCCTCTTAAGCAGGCTGAATCGCATAATGATGCGTCATTTGCTGCTTACCTTGCTCCTTTTCAATGACGTGTTAATGCTACTAACTTTGAATGTTTTTATTGCAAGGAAAGGGGTCACACTAAGAGATATTGCAGGAAGAGGAAGTTTTGTATATACTGCCGACTCAACCCAAATATCACAATAAAATCCCATCTAAGACCCAAGTATAAACCTTAAATGTGTGCAATATAGGGCAAATATGTTTAAATATCAACCCGAGCCGGCCCATGTACCCCTACTTCGATTGTTTGAACCATTACCTAGCAGAACATTGTTTGTGAAAATCTCTACAATCTACGATTAAGAAGCAAGATTTGAAAAGTAAAAGGATTGAAACTCTTGGTGTGAAGCTTCACTCGGGAGTTATTTCCCACTAACTAACTAACATCAACCGCGGGATCGAATGAATCGATGTGTGACAAGGCGATTGTGAACCACTAGGAGGAGCAACAATGGTTAGAAACCACACTCTCGATTGCTAGGCCAAGGAATGCATTATAGGCTACAATTGTAGCCCTCTTGGCACAAACAATTGAGGGTTGACTTACCTTCTCCCTCAAACCGAGGCTTGGACGGCTTAATCACAATCAACCTAGGTGTTCAATTTGAGTTTAGAAGTTTTCCCTACATTAACCTAGATAGGAGGCATGGAATGCCCAAGAAAACCCAGCTCAATTTGATCCTCTTAAGATAAGGGGGTTTCCCTCTAAGCTAGGTTAGAATAACACAATAGATTGCCAAGTACACACAATGTAGAATCACCATGAAAAATACCTCAAATCTTAAATTAAACACCATCCACACATAATAATTCAATCCACACAATCAACTACATGGTAGAAGTTAGGGTTCTACAACACCCAAGTGGAAAGGAGACTACTCCATGCTAGAAAAAGGAAGAACACAAAGTAAAAAGGAAAAAAACTATCATTGTGCTGCCTCAATCCTTCCTTGTGCTTGTAGAGATCCTCTCTTGAAGAGTAACTTCCCAAATCATGACTTGGAGCAAAAACTAGCCTCTTCTCCATCTTGGTTTGTGGCTTTCTCTCTAGGTTTTCAAGAAGAAGAAAGTTTCTCTCATTTTGTGCTCCCCCTTCTTCCTCCTTTCTGCTCTCTTTTTATACATAGGTCGCGCCCAGTTCACGGTCCCAGTTCACGATGGTGAACTAATGGCGCAAACCGTGAACTCAGTCCAAAACATGCCGCTTCACTTAATTGGTTCGTGGTCCATGGCTTCAGTTCACAGTCTCACGACTATGAACTGACTCGGCGTCACTAACATCTGAAAACTCTCTGGAAACTCGCCAGTATGCGGTTTGTGGCTCCAGTTCACGGTCCCAATGACTGTGAACTCACTGCTTGCTCCGTGAACTACGGCTGCTACCTCCTCTTTGTCGGATCCTCGCGTCTTTTCTTCCAACTTTCGACTCTGGGGTTGGTTCCACCTGTTAGACTCTGAAACACATTGAAACACAACAAACCTAACGTAAAACCAACCTTTTTGGAGCTCAAATTCCACAAACGCCAAAGAGAAATGGGGATAAAAAGTATACATTTAGGCCCAAATCACCCCCCACACTTAGACGTTTGCTTGTCCCCAAGCAAACCATTTCACACAAGGTAATATCTCAACCTAAACAAAATAATTTTGGGACAACTCAAAGGGCACAAAGTGGGAATCTCAATGGCTATTGGCAATTAACACATGACCGTTGCAAGCGATACCGATATCCACCACAAACGACATTCGAGGCCACCAAAACGGGGAAATGAAAAGTTCTCACCTTGTTCATGAATCAATGCAAGTCTCAATAAGATCACTCATCGACCACAACTAACCATTTTTATAACATTCAGGTCCAAGGAATAAACAAATGGGCAACAAAGGTCCTCACTGGGGTATGATATGACATGCAAAGCAAGAATGAATCACTCACTCTCTTGACCAATGGGGTCAGGACCAATTGGTACAAAAAATGTGCACAATCATCAACACTCGGCCCTATCATCTCTTCACCACGGCGGCAACCTCTAAATGCTAGAGTTTACGGGACGGTTGTCATCAAT